TGTATTTGTTGTTTGACAGAAAATTATGTTCATAATATCAACACATCTTAAGAGGGACAAATATATGCAACAGATATATCTGGAGTGTGTTGATAAGTGCTTAACTCCTCCAGTGTCTGATTCCACAGAGTACTGCATCGTGTCTTTGCTCCTAGATGTCTATAAGGCCTTTTAGGCAATCCATTGCTATATGATATTTGAGCAGTTTCAATGCGAAATACATTTTGGATCGATTTATCAGATGGGGCGATTAAGGGTATTTGCATTTATTATCTAGATATTTAACAGACATAGATAAAAATCTTGCATGTCCACATGCAGGTGAGATTTTTGCATTTAGCGTCATTTTAACCAGACAATACGTGCACTCTTATGTAGTACAGGACAGAAATATAGATGAACTTAGCAACCTTGTACATATGCCTGTCTTCTGTGATTCTGAGCACAATTTAAAACACTATTCTTCTTTCTGATACGTCTTTAAATGATTTTATCTTTTGAACTAACGGGTACTTAGATGTTGTTGCTTGCAGCTGCTGGTGTTGCCGTTCGTTTTATAGTTGTTGATCGTTTCAGACTGATGACAGACTTGTGAAGTTGATCCTCGAGTTCGGAAACCTTTTGGAAGTGTGCCAGTTTCGTTCTGTTTGGGTAAGCTTACTTTGCAGTATGCGAGAAGTAGATGCTATGATGTTTCACATTTCAGAAGTTACTGAGGGACAACCCTGATACTTTTGGCGAAATTCGAGGATTTGAGGATTCGATACGTGATTGTAAGTGATTTGGTCAGAAGATTATTATTGTGGAATAATCATTGCTGATTTCAAGTTATCTGTCACGTGATCAATATCACCTACCAGAATATCGACTACAATTTGTTGAAGGAACTGTTGGGCAAGATTGATGGTAATCAAAACAAACATTTTACTTGATTTTTTTCTTTCGACATGTTTTCTTACCTTACAGACGAACAGGTTACCACTTACATTAACAAGAATAACTGGGAGGTAAAGTCAGACTCAGTGGTTTTTATTACCAATCATATGGCCACAATCAGAAGTAGGAATATCGAGGAGAAAATTGATCCTTCGGGTATCCGTCCTGTGGCACTTTATGTTGTCTTTAACGTTTATTATTTACTGCTTTAGGTATCCTGGAAACGCTTAGGGCTGCTGCTTAATGTCCTTGATTGATTTCGGAATATTTTCAACTTTTACATCTGGATGTTAACACGTTTATATATTTATAGCACTTGAAATATTTCAACATTTTGTTGTTTTTGTCTCTTAATTTCGACGTGGTTTTGCAGCAACTGCAAGACAACTTAGCTTTGTAACAGAAATTAGAACGAATGTAAATATTCCATTCGACAAAATATCGGAGTTGCCCGGTCACTAGAGTGTCAGACTCGGAGCTAAGAGGTACATAGTTCGATCCCTGGTCAGAATGACTAACTTTTCTTCCTTTTGAGGATGGTAAGTTAAAAACTTTCCAGGGGAAGGAAACAAAAGACTATCGCCATGAACAAAAAGCATATCGCCGTGATCGCTTCTATTGACTTTGCCTTTAAACAAATAATATACTCCTGTCTTATCGCAAGGGAGTAAAGAACAGCCCTCCACTAATAACCTAATAAAAAAGGGAGCGAGAAGTGGCCTAATCATGAAAGTGTAACGGATATCGACTGTTTTTTCGACAAGAGAAGCCTTTTGTGATATCTGTTTGTGCCATCTGCGGAGTTAGCTGCGTCATAGCCACTAGACATTAAAGATTAGGAACTGGTCTTTGCTGGACCAAGAACTTCCCTCTGTTCATGCTGGGACGACACGATGGTGAAATAAGCCAACGATTGAAACAGATCACGAAACGGATAGGACTTCTGTTCGTAGCGCTCCCGCAAACATGTGCAAGTCGAATAAAGGAGTGAAAACCCACTGGTCAGTGTTTCACTGTTTGCCTCACAGACTACATTATGAATATTCATCGCTTTTGCACGTACGTTATCGTCATCGCTCCCTGAGGCTAATAAGATTAGATAGTAAACTTTCCCAAATCTACATTGCATGAGCCAGTGGGAAAACGGGTTGATTCTGTCACAAGTGTAACTTTCACGATCCGTTCACATACTTCTTTAATTCTAGATCAGCGTAAGACAAAGACCTGAATATTTTGATAACTTTATTTATTTCTAAAATCGATAAAACAACAGATTCATAAAACGATTAAAATAAGCAGATGAAACATTTAAAACAATCATGGACAACAACGTAACCTTTGTATAAACCCTTAGCTATGGATAAAACTAACAAACTTTTGTTAACAGGCTTGACGTGGCTACTGGCCGTCGGATTCTATTTTTTCTCTTTCATTTTAAAGTTTAAACATTTGCTGGTGCCTGGCTCCATGCTGTACATCTTTGGGTTGTCGTAGATGGTCTTCACGCAGTAAAGGCGATTGGCCGGATTTTTATCGACGAACTCTTGCGGGTAGTAGCCAGGCTGAAAGTAGGGAATCATGCCCCCGTACGAGGCCGGTGCACAGTCACACGGTTGATCTTTCCAGGTCATGGACCAGTCCGGTTGCCAGGTGAGATTGTGATTTATCATGTCCAATGTTTTCGGCATACCTTTGCACGTTAGTAGATTATCCGCTTCTCTTTTGACCCCGAAATATTCACATAGCCATTTGAACGCCTTGATTCTGCGGCTTTCGCCTGGTCCGCCCGGATCTTGTGGATCTTCGCCGTTGCACTCGTTGTTGATGATCAGACTGGTTGGACCAAAGATCGGTCCAATGTATCCCTTTGCTCGATTATCCGGCCCTGGTTCCCAGTTACCTAAACAGACGAAGAAATAAATGCAAATGAACAAAAACAATCGGTGTTGAACAGGATAAATTTACACAGTTAGATAAAATCAATTACCCATCATGATGTCATGCATTGCCGGTTTCGGCGGTTGTGGGGTCATGTAAAACCACAATGACCCCAGGATGGCCAATGGAGGGTCTCGCTTGGTTAGCAGCAGGTTTGGATTTTGCAGCAGGTCAACGTTGATGTTGTTCTCTTGTAGCCAACGCGTAAATATACCATAGTTGAAATTGTACGATAGTTGAATGGCCCCCCTTCCGAAGTAGCAGCCGTAAAAGAGGTTCCCTTCGGTCTTGGTGTTGCACGGATAGAAGTAGTCAAGCTCTGCACTGGAGCTACAGTACTTGCCACCCAAATTGCATTTCTCACCCTCCTCTGGTGCATTCCCTGGTGTTCCGGGAGGCAGGAAGGACGAGACTGGCCCACCTTCGAACCAGTTGTAGAATCCCCCTCGGTAGAAGCAGGCGTGCGATTCGTTCACTGTCCTATCCTTGCCGTACAGCGATGCGTCGTTTTCGCCTGTCTCTTGAACAGCATGGGCAAAGAACGCTGCCAAGTCTCTGCGAGCGTTTTCAGTAGCCGTGTAGCCGTTGTTTGGCGCTTCGGTGCCAAACTTCGGAAAATACCTCGCTGCAATGATGAATGCCTCATAGTTATAAGGGGAGCATGCGCTGGGACCCCAGCCGATGTTCGCCTTAGGGAACAGGTCATTGAACACCTCCTCGGTGAACCACGTTTCGATCGGACTCTTGGGCTTGTTTAACGGGTCCACCTGCGCGGCACAGGTTTTCGGCGGACCCGGTCCGTATTTTCCCGCAGCCGGACACATCACATCCAACACGCAGTTGTCGATCATGCATTTGTACCCTTTTTGGCACGGCGTTTTACAATTCGACGCTGAGGCGCCTAAAAGAAACACTCTGTAAAAGCCATTTCACCAAAAAATGTGCAATGCAGCCTTACCCACTGCTAGGCAGAGACTGAGCCAGATCCCGAACGTTCTCATGGTTCGCCGGACAACGTAATGACCACTTCGCGCCGGCCACTGCCAGATATGTAGGTCTTCGGGTGAGCTGTGTCAATACAGCTGTTATCTGTGGCCACGAGTGTTTAATAAATTTGACCTGAGGCTATATGGCCTTTGTTTGACGCAGATGGAGTTGTTTGCCTCGAGGAAATCTGATGAGTGCGCGTGGCGTTTGTGTACTGCTGAACTTCAAAGCCAAGCGCCGTTTGTGGACTGTGGGACACCTGAGCTAATCGCTGGAGATCTTAGCAGGTCACGAAACCATCGACTGTGTCTATGCTAGGACAAACATTGTTGCTTTGTCCGAATTTAGGTTATAACAGGTAACGGTGTTCTCTGTTGGTGCACAAGATTTATGGCCTTATTCAATTACTGTCAGGCAAATCGACTCAGCTGCTTTGTTTGCGACCCTCTTATTGATACAGGCGGCACGTCTGTATCGGTTATTACGAGGCTCTCAGATTGAAGCTTTATCTCCAGGTCGATCTTTAGCTTCGTTTCGTATTTATTCTTTGAAGCTCACATGGACCTCCTGCGGCAAACGAACCAAAAGCATCCTCAAGTGTCCGTTTGACGTCGTCAGCCATCTTCAAAGAAAAGTTTGCGTAACTCAGTAAACGACAGCCTCTTTTAATCAGATGCCAAATTCTGCTCTATTGGAACGCAGCTCAGTCATGGTGTCTGTTGAATTCAGTTAAGTAAACGTTCCCTGTCTGATCCCTCAGCTTACGATGTCCAATTTAAATATAATACATGTACAGATGTGTGCATCATTTAAAGCTGGTTAAAGATCGCCAATCTACTGGTAAGATTTTGTTGATTGCAAGCCTTATCTGGGCGTTACTTTAAGAAAGAATGTCAGAAAAGCGGTACGACGAATAATTAGTTATGGAATAGTAAACATTTTCTGACGTTTCAGATTGAGCGGTGTTGTTTCACTAAAAGCGCTTTAGAACCGGTATTGTTTCTTACCTCAAACTCAATAATTCATTTTATTTCCATAGTGGTCAGTAAGGATCATATGTGAACAGCCGTTTTCCATGTTATAATGCTTTTTATGTTGTTATTACGGCTGCCGTAATCCCATCTCTAGTTCATAGCCGGCTAAAATAGCGTCCCGTATTGTTGCTTTTCACCTTGTTGTCGATCGGGGGCAAGGTCTACCGCGGTGTTTAGCCAGTTTTTCATCGTTTGTACCATATATAGTCTGCCCAGAGAGGACTTTAGCGTCAAATATCACGATATCCCACCAGGTCAGAACTTGTTCTCTTCTTTTCCGGTACCTTCAAGAGGTCAGGATGGGGTTCTTCGTAAGTGAATAAGTTTTTTCGTCTGGTTGATGTCTCAGCATCTCTGCCAGCCAAGGTATTTAGTAGCGAACTGGATGACGTTGCAGTGGGTACAAACTATGACGTTAGATATATGGTCGATCAGGCTTGTCGAAATTAATTAAATTAGTAATCATAACTAATTAAAAAGTAGTACTAACTTTATGGCATAATGCAAATAATCAAGGCCATACGATGATGATCATGAGCGCTTTCATTAGCACACCCGCCACCTTTTAGAGTAATGTCTTCGACAGCACATTTGACACGGATCAAAGCATGCAAACATTTTTATTTAAGCTAATAATTTGCTAGTTATTAATTAAATAATTTAATGCCGAATAAGAGGGTGCACGACCACACTACTAAAACTCGAGGAAATATCCGCGATGATGTTGCATCTCGGTGCGGCAAGCTGCAAAAATCTCCGCATGTTTGTAGGCTCCTTGATAGGTCAGACTAAGTCTAGGGTTGTGATTTCTGTAATGCGATATGAATGAAGTGTACTTGTTCAAGTCCTTACCTAAAATTTGTTTGTATTTGGCTCCTTCGTGGTGATCAAAACATCACTGGCAGTTACCGCGCATTCGTCATCCTCGATGAATTGGGCTGTATAATTTGTATGACAAATGTTTGGTCAAAATATCCGAATACCAAAGTTCCTCGATGAATCGCCGCAAATTGTTTTGTTTTCAAACCTCTTCGGTATTTTTTCGGTGCTGTCAATCATATTCGACGGAGTATGACACTATTTTAATGACTGGACAACGGTCAAGATTGGATCTCGCCAGATTTCCAAATTTTGATAGTTTTCAAATCATGACAGATGTTACTTTGTACACTCTGTTTTGTGGTTTTGCGAACCTCCAGTCCAGCTTGAAGGTGGCCACTTTCACTGCTCAGAGGTTAGATATCACAGAAAAAAATTTCAGTTTCCTTTCTTCAGAGATTAACACGAAAGGCGGCCTTACTTTCTTTCGTCAGGCTTTCCAACCAAACCGTTCTTTTCCTACTGACCGCTTCAACGTTCATGACAAAGTTTCATCACTGCATGGTGGCTCAATGCCAAAAGATTCATCGTCTTTCCGGTTCATGCGATCCGGTACATAAATGCATCACCACAAAAAGCACGATTAAAATTGATCTGTTCGGTAATTGACGAACTGACGTTTGAACCTCTGTATCATAGACCGTCTTTAGGTTACGATA